TGTTACCTTTTATACAGAGCCAGTAAAGCCGCATCCCCCTGCATCAGCTGAGCTGTAGCTACATTGTTAGCATACAGACATGAGTAGTAAGGACATTATTATCTCCCTCTCAGAATTAAAACAAATCAGCGTTTTAACCAAATTATTTTTATTCAAGCCTTTCCTCTTCTTTATCTGGTTTATTAGAGCTTTGGAAAATGATTGTCCAAACAACTTTACACTAGAACATATTTGATCAAAACTTTTAAAGTTTCCACAGAAAAACTTCAAGCCCTAAAGTTAAATATCAATTTTTGAAGATAATTTCCCACCAGGCCTGTTCTTTTCCTGGTGGGTCACATATTTGATCCCGTCCCCTTCGGCCAAAACAACTGACAGTTCCTTTGCTGATGGTTTAACTTTTTGAGTTGCACATAATTTAGCATTCCTGTGAAATGCAGACTGGCCCCACAGGGTAGAAGCCCATCTCCTGTTTCTCTCTCTCTCTCTCTCTCTCTCTCTCTCTCTCTCTCTCTCTCTCACACACACACACCGACTCTGGCCTACAGGATCTCATAGGACAGGTGATAGGCTAGCATTTTAACAGTGAGGCAATGGACAGAGCAGTTTTTCCCAGTTTTCTTTTTGAGGGTGAGAGCTCTCTTTTCTCACAGTCGATGTGACAGGTTGGAATTTGAAAAACATGGGAAACTCCAGAGCGTGGAGATACAAACTGCTGTGGTTTTACACCAGTAATTACAGTCAGTTAACACCCATACGGTGACTGTTTTTATTTACAGAAATCGTCCAGGTTCGACTGGTTTACATAAATGAACGCATAGCCCCCGGTCATCTAATGAGACATTTACCCAGATGGTCGTTCATGCGCATCTTAAGCCCTTCCAATTGTTGTGTGAAAATTAACAAGCACTTCCGTTTTGGGGGTGGTTCTGGCCCAGTTACAGTAGCACAGTGTTCGATCCAACCGGCGGTGTCAATGAACTGCAAAGATGGAAAGAAAGTTGTTTTTCACACACTCGGCGGAAATAGATGGTGACAGTGTCACATAAAAGGCAGTGCTGTGGTGTGGAGCTGACGTCATGGCAATCAACGTTTAAGACGACGAGGCTTTTCAATGAAGGAAAGCCACATGGAGCAAGCCACAAGCATTTCAGTAAGTAACAGTCTGGGATTGGGTACCACAAGTGGTACATGTGCACGCAGGCTGGAACAATAGGCCTCTACAGGCACATGGAAGCATGCATAACACCCCGAAGGAATAAAAGTCTCTGCACGCATATTGACAGACTTCTTATATGCAGTCAGACACAAGCTGCAGCTCAAAATATTTCACCTTCACAGCTCTGTCAGATTCGTAGCCACATGTTTCAGTGAATCCCCCGAAGTGAGCTTGGAGGCATGAAACTGTATAGCGAAGTAATCACAGTTGTCTCTTTTTTAACCTCTTTCTCACTCGTCTAATGTCATGAAGACACAAACAAGCACACGCAAGTTCCCCTCACACCCCCACCTCCCTTTTCTCCTTTTGCGTCCAGCCTTCCCAACACACCCAAAACCACCAGATCCCGCTTTTCACCGCAGAGCTGCGGATTAGAAAAGAAGGCATTTCCCAAATGGTCTGCGGCTTGTGCGATGACATGATTGTCAATCAGTTTTCTTCTCTCTGTACTCTTTAGATCCTCACTCTCCTGATTCTACTGCTCCTATTAAACACCAGAAGAAGGTAAATAACAGTTAAAAAAAAACATGAGGCTCCTGTGCAGACTTGCTCACCGGAAAGGCATTTTAGTTTTTATTGCAAAGATGAAAGACACATTGAAAATTGTTCTGTGCAGCTGGTCTCTAGCTGTCGACGAAGGCCTGCCTGCAGTTTTGTTTATTTGAAGAATATCTTGTATCTCTGTAGATGTATACTAGTAATGTAATTTAACCTCCTGGCTCTAGATGCTACTTGAATCGAACCCTCATGATGTCAGAATGAATCACAGCAGACTTTACCTCCGATATAAATTACTCCCATGTTGAACTCGAGGCATTATGTGGATCTAGCACTGTTTAATGCTTTCAAGGCTGTTGAAGCTGTTGTATAAGCTCCAAACATTCCCTCTTCTCAGATCTTTAGTACATTCATCCCTTCAGTGATGTCTCTATAAAGCTGCAGGGCAAGACTGCGAGTCAGGAAGTCCTCCTGGAGGCGAAAAAGATGGATGCACCTGTGTGAAGGTAGTGAGACGCGAGGGATCGAGGGTGGGAGGAGAAGAGGAAGATCATTGTGTGTGGACTGAGAGATCAGAGTGTTTTTTTTGTTCTGTCCTCTGTCTCATGTCCATCTATCATGCTTACTGACTTTGCTTATGTCTGCAGATGAAAGTTTGGGAAGGCTCCAGGAGAAGGGTGGGGCCTCACAGTCGCTTTGTTCTTGGCTTTTGTATTCAGTGAGCCTCCCCACCTGAGGGCCCGTTCATTGAGCATCTAACATACAGCAGAGCGTTTGTCTGACATCTTTTATTTCTTCAAAGGAGATGTACTTCAGACACCACAATGTGAGCATTAAACTGGATTGTTTCGGGATAATGACCACATCACTGCATAGAAAACCAGAACCAAACAGCAGGCATATTCTCTGATATACGTACATCTTCAATCTGGAGTACATTATCTGTAAATATCTAATTCCAGAGACAGTAGAAAGGAAACTACAGCCATACCTCTGCACCGCTAAATGAGTATATCCTGGGCGGTGGTTTCAAAGATCTGTCATGAAGGCTTTAAGAAGATTCTCCCCGGTATCTTGCGGCTATCGCAAATGGTCGACAGCTTCTTCCTCATACTGGAAATTACCAAATGAGAGTGGAACATTCTGCTTTTGCTGAGGAGGATTTGTAATTTGCTGTAATGGCTGACACATGTATACGCCATCAGCCGGCCTCTGGAAATCTCTATCAGTGATCACACAGGGAAGCACCTGAAGGGACCGCAGATGTAAATGTAGTCTGGACACGCATTCATAAATGCACACACATGAATGCGAGTAAAATAAATAAAGATGTCGAGATACGCACACAAATACATCAACAGAGAGATATTATCCAACCGCAATCCTATACATACAGGCACAGTTCACAACTTGAATGTCGTATTTGTTTCCCCAACACTGCTGCTCCCTGTTTGTTTCTTTAATCTCACTGTTTATATTTCTGGGTCCAAACCTGTCAGTGTAACTCCAACTAGAGCAATTAGCGTGAGGGAAAAGCAAATAAAATGTCTTGATGAAAGCAGAGCCTGGATCCTGACCTCATTCTGACTGAATCTGCCGCTAGTCCGCAGACAGTCATTTCCAAAGCTGTGAATTCCTCAGAGCCAGGCTGGCCTCACGTTGGATGGATTTACAATGGCTGTTTGTGCTCCAAAACATATCATTATTCTATATTTGCCTGGGTCATGTCGGAATCCGCAGAGACCTTTGTTTTGGCACTTTCTTCTTTCAAACCGGTTTTACATCGTAGTTGCATATTACATTAACATTTTTGAATGTACTTTATTTAAACTATTCTCGGAATCAATTTTCTCATAACTTAAGAAAATCAAGTGACTAAGCGTACGGTATGCAGTAATATTTATTCTTTATGTGCCAGACTATTTCCCATTTTGGGACCAGTTACTTCCACTAACTTTCTGTCACTTGCTAAAAAATGGTCCATCACATGACCCTGTAAAAACTGACAGTTTAATTTATTGACTTTGCTTATTTAACAATGGGAAAACAAAGTGTTAAAAAGTGAGCTTTTAAGTTGCTAGTTTGTGGATTTTGTAATCTTTGGATGGATCCAGGTTTGCTGTTCCCCCTTGTTTCCAGTTTTTGTGCTAAGCTAAGTTAGCCTTTATATTCACTATCCAGACAGGAGCGTGCTATCAATGTCTAACTTTTAAGTGTCTTTAACCAAGCAATTTCTATTTTCTCTGAGGACATAGGAAGAGAGGTGAATAAAGATAACAAATAAACTCCTCAATCAGCCAACACAGTAAGTTTGCCAAATTCATTTACTATCTCTGTCTGAAACCTACTGCCCAAGGGGCTGAGGGTGTGTCAGTGTGTGTGCACCTCTTTCTCAGACAGATTATAATTTCACCTTTACCTCTCCTCGCTCTCTTTCCATCCCCTCATCCATTCTAACAGCCGCTTGGTGTGTGAGTCAGGTTCAAAGTCTGAACTCCATCTCAGGTTCAACATCCATCTCTTTGCCAGAAGAAACTTTATACCTGCTGCAGCTTCACAGAGTCGGGGGAACATCCCGGTGCTGATCCTTCCTGTTCAACCCCTGAGGTGCCACACTCAGCCTCACATACTGTATTTATGGGACGGAGCAGTCGCAGGGCCCCCCTCATGCTTCGAGCCTATTGTTTTTTAGGTTTGTGTCGGCAGACTTGTCACCGTGTCGGTTATGTGTTTGGCTCAGTGTTGAGTCTCAGTGTGCAGGTGGAGTACAAGAGGTTTTGGATATACATCCTCAGGGCTTCTCTTATTCACAGAGATCTATCATAATGGTTCAAAGGGGCAAGGATTTTCCTCAGTGGGGTCAGCTTACATTTGTAAAACAGTGATGTGCCTGTAGTTTATAATAAAAAACACAAGCTATTATTTTTTATTTTGGAAAGTTCCCTGAAAATATATCACATAACTTTAGGCAAATGTAAATCAAACAGATCACAAATAATAAAAAAGCAAGTGGATTCTGTTCGATGGTTTGTGGTAACAATGCGTAATCTACATTTAGTTATAAATAAAACATATTTGATTATGTTTACTATGTGGAAATAAACACACCGGTGCCTCTGTATGAAGTTTATGTCCGCATGAGGCATGTTTATCTATAGCTTGAGAAGGGAGGGGTGGAGACGTGTAGAAAAGGGCGTAGAAGAGGCAGAGGAGAAACCTTGAATGAGAAATTAGTAGACCTCACAGCAGCCTGGAAGTCTCATCTGACTGCAAATAAACGAGCCATGTTTAATGAGAAAACTTCCTTTATTTACAAGGAATCATTTAGTCTTTTCTGACTAAAAGAGACAAAGATTATGAGGATATTTTTTCGACAAATCCATCAACTTTTCAATGTGATGCCTCACTTTTACGCAACAGGTTCTAAAAGATAAATGTGACTGTGTCAACTCCGATCAATGTAGGAAAAAGATGCAATGCTGTCCCCGTTTTGGACCTTTGGCACCGAGCAGGAGATCAACTCATGGGATGTAGTGGATGCAGAGTCAGGTTCAACTTTGGCAAGGTGCTCTCCAAAGTCTCGGTGTTTTTTACCATGGTCCTGATCTTCACCTACTTCTTCTACTGCCTCACCGGATTCTGTGATTCGGCTCCGAGGACTTTATACCGCCAACAAGTATCAGACTATGACGCTCTGGACGATCATCGCCGCGTTTTGGACGAGCTGCGACCATCTCCCCGTCTCCTCCCGGACGCGGAGTCTCAGCGGAACCGCTCAGGCTCCGCGGACGCAGAGCAGGTGGACACACCCGGACAGTTTCCGCAACACATGTTGGAGAGTGCAAACGAGGAGAGCGCACAGAGCAACGGCATCCCCGTGTCCAACACTTTCGGCACCAAAAGGTTTCCGCAGGCGATTATAATCGGCGTGAAGAAAGGAGGAACCCGCGCCCTGCTGGAGTTTCTCCGCATCCACCCGGACGTGAGAGCGGTCGGTGCGGAGCCTCACTTCTTCGACAGGTTTTATGATAAAGGACTGGAGTGGTACAGGTGAGCAACACAACAACAAACACTCACGCAAGTTTAGGTTGCCTTTTAGCTCAAGAGTGTTTGCAAAAAAAAATGACACTTGCAGGAACTTTTAACACCTTTCATTTAAGATTAAACATTTAAAGGCTTTATTGCCAAATGCACATTAGCTACAGTGCATTTATGGCAATGAAAGAAAGTCCCAGGCAACATAAATAAGACATAGAAAAATAGTGCCAAAAGAAACAGAATATAAATAAAATAGTCGAAGAGAATGTTGAAAGTGACCAATGTGTAAGTACACTAAAATAGAGCATGTTACCAAGTAATTATGTCCTTTGAGCCCCAAAAGGATTATGCCAAGTTTCTCTAGAATACAGCTCTGGACAGACAATGCAGGATGATGTATTGCAGGGTTAAGGGTCAGATGAGCAGTAGTGTCACCTGTGCACAAGTGCTGATGTGTCCTGTCAATAGACTGGACAGCCATGCCTGTCTGATATATTCAGATCACCATAAGCCAATACTCTCCCTGCATGCTGCACTGTAAATCAAAAGGGGTCTCAGAGGAGCATTTCATCATCTTGACAGCCATATAAACATCATTTATACCCTCCAATATGACATCCTGTATTAACACTTCCACTGTATTCTGACTGTGAGTCATGCAGTGAAATGTTTTGCACATACTGTGTAAAGGATATCAAACCTGATATTTTGAATTATGTTGATCTTTGCTGCGAGTCACGATGATTTGGCCCATAACATGTTCATCAGCTACTGTCGCAGCAACAGCAGCTAATTTGGGGTGACCAGGCCAACCAGATATATAATTTGGGTGTAGTTAAGGTCCTAAAGAAGGATTTAGGTCGGGTTGAAGCTGATTCTGATAATCTCCAGATGTTTACAAGCTCCCGAGAAATCCCACTTTTCCTCAAACTCGTGACAAGTCTCAGAAAACTATTTCCGACCTGTGAGAATAGCATTAAAGCATCTATGAGGAGAGAGCTATAGGTTTGACAGTCAGAAGAGAGCTGATAAATAAGCACTTTGATAGCACGATGGTTCTAGAAACGCTAAGGTGTAATTCAATCTTCTCTTGGCCTTTTTCCATCCCCCTTAGCTGTCTTTTAACTGTAAACATGAGGACACATGGAAACACTTTCACCACTGATAATTTTATCATGCTGCTAAGCTTCCTCTCTGTTTTCCTCAGTGCACAAACATGCATATCCACAACTCCTCTGCTTTAATCCATCTCTCTCCTTTATTTCCACCTTCTCACCACTCTTCCTCTTTTTCCTTTTTTTTGCCAGCTTCACTCTCCCTTACTTCCTTTAAGTGTAGAGGATGTCTTTATGTGGAAATACCTGTGGCAAACCTTGTGTTTCCAGGGCATGTTTTACGTGATTTTCTGTGTGTTTTAATTAGCGTGACTGGTGCTGTAAAGCTGTTACGCTTTAATGCTTTAGTTTTGTTAGTGCTGTAACACGGCAGCGACAACAAAATGGTCTGTGAAAGTTAGATTGGTCATAATCAGGGTTGCATCTTATAATTCAAGCCCAAGGTGACTCATTCAAATGTCTTTTAAAAGTAATTCAATTTGGTATCATATATGACAAAGAAAAGCAACTGATCCTTAGATGACAAGCTGGAACCAGCAAAAGTGTTTCATTCTGTGATTACAAAATGAACTGATTACCAAAATAGATGCTTTTGCAGTTTATTTTCTGCTTATGTAAACAGTTATTCAAATAATCGTACATATAGGCAGAAGTATTTGACAATTGAAAACCCAGATAGTCCAAGTAAAATCATTTATGAATCTACTTTAAAAACATTAGCTGTTTTCTACCTTTGAATACACTAGATGCTGAAGGTAGAGTAGAGTTGGAGCCATTATCACAACAAAAGGGACAGCAGCAACATGATCCCAGTTGAAATCACTGAAAGATAATTCCCTTGCTGTCACTGAATCTCAGAAATTCTGGAAAATATGTTTGCTGTCAACCGCAGTGGCCTCCTGAGAAGCTGGACATTTTTGAGCTCGGTGGTGTTTGTGTGTATTTGTCAGTGACAGCAAGAGCTCATCCAAGTGGAAAAAACAAGCCCGCCTCACCTGACTGTCAGTGAACAGCGGGTGAACTCACTGTCGCATCTGGAAGCTAAACGCACACGCACGCACGCACGCACGCACGCACGCGCGCGCGCACGCGCGCACACACACACACACACACACACACACACACACACACACACAGTACGATATCAGGCTGCTGTGTATGACAGGCTCTGTAAAGCAACCCTGAGCTTTGACATTTTATCTTGTTGAAGTTCTCCGCTTCATCTGCAGCTCTCGGGTCAACAGGATCATATTTCAGCTATGCATATAGATGTAAATATTTCACTGGATCATTACTTTAATCTTAGTATAGTACGAATGAACGTACATTGTCATATTACTATTGATTCTCCTTTTTAATATACAATGGTCAATATAATTATTTTTTTTCAAATGCTTCCAAATCAGAATTTTTTTAATCATTTGGAAGACAAGTCATAATAAATAATAAAGACCAATGCAGAGAACACATTACTTTAGGATCTGACAGCAAGTTGTATACAGGGATACTCCACCTGCTTCCACATATCTTGAATGGAGGAAATAACCAAAACTATAGGATATTTGCAGAAGGATGAGAGTCCTGCAGGGCAGTATATTGTTTTCAGATCTCCGTGCTGGAGACACTTCGCAGTTGCAGCAATTTGGTTGTGTGCATGTTGTTCCAAGAGCTTTGTACTCTCCGAGACAAACCAAGACCTCGTTCATGTATGTTTTCCATTGCTTTTGTCTTGAGTGATCCAGTCAGTCCTTGATCTCTCCACTCAGCCTGTCTGTCCCTCCCTGTCCCTCCTTTGCATGTGTTTGCATACGAGCCTGTTACGGGAATGGAAAAGCCACAAATAGTGCTTTCAGAATGATGCAAAGATTTAATGAATTTCTGTGTCGTTTTATAAAGGGGACTTCATCCGATGATGGGTTTCATATGGGACTTGAGAACCACCGCATAAAGCAGAAAACCTCAGTTTTCCATGGCACAATGGTTGTGATTGTCACATATTTGTCATCATGATCTGGGCAGGGATGAGTAACAGACATATACAGTCTATGGTAACAGACAGACTTTTTATTTTTGTATCTTCGGTTCCTTTACAACATTATAATGAGAACATTTATTGTCGTTGTTGTCTTGCAGCAGAACACGCTTTTTAAAAAAGAGATTAGCCCTATTCAGTCAAAGAGCTTTATTTTAAGAATAACTCTATGTATTTTATATTTAAAAAAAAGCATTTCTTTATTCTTGATTCAAGAAAAACACTAGTCCACAAGTTCCATCAATACTTTGAAAGCTTGTCAATTGCATGACCTACAGTCTTGACACCAAAGGCCATGCCCGATCGGATTGCTATTAACATGTAGTATAAATCCTCTGAGGGCAGCAGCACAAGGGCAAGTAGAAACGACAGCACAGCTAAAATCACATCGACTCTTAAGGAGACATATGTTTTTAAGAATAAGGATATGATGTGATGACAACAGATGATTTTTAAATGGTATCATGTCAGTCTTTAAGAAAATGCATGGATACATTTTTTAGATCAAAAAGCTAATAATGTTTAAAAAATAGAAGATCTTCCTCATGCTTTTACTTACTTACTATCTATACAATATAATATAATGAAACTAATAATACAAATGGACATTTTTGCTTTAGTTGATATTTGCACAGAATAGAGACACACTTTTGCAGTTAGATTACTTAAGTGTGTTGTCATGTAATTTGTCAGTGTACTATGCTTACGACTGGTACTGATTGACCTTTACATTTCTGTAGTTTAGTTCTGTTTATAGGCTGGTAGGAGAAACAGTGCTTTATTTCACCATAGATTCATGTGAAAACTGCATGCAAGCATGTTTAATTTCAGTATTTTCTAGGCCGGATTCAAACACTTGCCATGTCAGTTTTGATATTTGACATTTGAAATGTTGAAAGTGGACTCTAATGCGGAACGTTTTCCAGAGCGTGGGTGATTTTCCCAACACCTCATTCTGTGTCCAAACCCGGAGACCATTAGTGACAGAGGCTGAACACGACTGATTGGTGTAACAGACCAGGAAGTGGTTTCTGTAGTGTTGAGTTGTATTGTGTTTTAATGGTGGTGGGTTTCGGCTGTGGTTGGGTTGAGATGGTGTTATGGGGTTTGAGAAGGCCCACGCTCACACCCCATATGGTGGGAATTATAATAATTTGAGGCGCATTGTGGTGCACTTTGGGGCGCCTTAAAAATCTTTCAGTCGTGCCGTTTTAGCTCAGGACTGCAGTTAGCTTTTGAAAAATGGGCCTACTTTGTGTCACTTGGCCAAAATGTAATTTTTCAGATACTTGGTAGTCATGCTCAGTTGCACTGCCATTTCCAGAGAAGAATAACACAAGTTGGAAAACAGATGGGAGTCAATCATAATGTCTGTTAAGCATCAGGCTATTATCATTACAAGGACTGGGTATTATTATCTTTTCTCGGGCATATTTGTGTCCCTTGCATCAAAAGTAGTATCAAACTTAATCCAATATTTTATTAAGATATGATAAATAAGACCTTTGTAAAAAAGAAATTCCTCAATGTGAGGTTTTAAATAAACGTATTGTTTTGGTATTGGCAGAGGTATTACATATTCTGAAAACCATGCCTGATCAACATTTTTACCCTGTTAAATATCACTGTGAGGCCTACTTTGCCAAATGCTGAATCCATTACTGATTACCACCAAAGCACACTGACTTCCTGTTAAGTCTTTTAATTATGAATGGATGCTAACATGCCATACAGTCATTAATTAGCCATTGACCAACAAAAGGTAATTTATTATATGGAAAGGCCCACACACACATGTGCATAATTTTACCCCCTACCCACCCACCATCTCTCACACACACATTTCCAAACTCATTGCAATGGTA